CAGCCCAGGAAGGTGAGTAGAGTAAGAAGGAAATACCGGACACACTTATCCAGAGACCCACCTATCCATCTCACCTACCTCTCCCACCCATTCTGTGTGCCCAGGCATCCCACCCATCCAGGCAACTATCTATGCATTCCACACACCCATCCCAGCCATCTATTTGTTTATCTCACCCACCATTTCAATCATCTCACCTACCTACCTCTTCATACTCACCCAGCCATCTCATCTCATCCATCTATCCGCTCATCCCTCTCATCACACCTATCTAGTTCACACCTCCTACCACCCTTCTGCCCATCCATCTATCCATCCATCCATCCATCCATCCATCCATCCATCCATCCATCCATCCATCCATCCATTCCATCTTCTAATTCCATTTGTCCAACCATTGAGTTATATTGGCCTGTCTATTCCATTCATTCCCCAAACCACTTGTTCCCCACCCACCAACCCATCTACCCATCCACCCATCAATCTATCCATCCCTTCCATATACCTACTCACCATCCTTGTACTCATCCAGTTATTTCCTTCCCTATTCACTATGTGTGACCAGAGTCACCTGTGACTTTTGAGCCCTTGAAATGTGGCTCAGTCTAAATTGAGATGTGCTGTAAGGCAAACCACATGCCAGAATTCAGACAGTACCCCCCCAAATTTAAAAGACTATAATAAATGATCTCATTTGTAATTTTTCTATTGATTGTGTTTCTATCTGTTATGTTGAAAACATAATATTGCGAATATATCAAATTAAATAAAATGTTACTAAAATTACTTTCACCTGTTTTTATTTACATTTTGAACTGTGGCTACTGTAAAGTTTTGAATTACATATATGGTTTGCATTTGTGGCTTGCATTATATTTCTACTGTACTGTGCTGATTTATAGAATCCATCATTCATCCATGCATCTATCCACCCATTCCTCCCATCCTTTACTCCCTCCCTTGCTTCCATCCATCCATCCATCCTTCCACTCAGTTATGACAGTGTCCACCCCGCAGTAATTTAATTTAGACCTGTTATGAATCAGTGACTATGTGGGTCATGAGCATGAGGAAACTGAGGCTCAGAGCAATTAAGGATCTTGCTGAGGTGTGCAGATGGAGCTGGCATCATCTGATTCTCTGAAGTTAGGGCTTTTCACTTTTCACCTTGGCTGCCAATTTGCTAAATTTCCTTAAAGAGGAAAAAGGGATCTTGATTGGGGTGTCTGTTGGAGTAGCAGCCCAGGGGCCCCTCTTGCAAGGGGACCACATGCACGGGGAGACACAGATCCTTCAGAAGTCTGTGAGCAGAGTCTCTGGTGGCCGTCATGAAAGGGTTATCCCCACACATTCGATATTTGCAAAAATATGGGTTCTTTCAGTTTCCAAACTCATTTCCATGACAAAACTCTTGGGAAGAGAAGATGAAGGTCTGGCTTTCGCAGAACAATCTTCCAGCTGTAATGAGGACTGAAGATGGCTATGGGAAAAGGAATTATAATTAGAATATGAAATGGGGAAAATTAATCTATTCCAGTCAGTGGTAAGAGGATGTTCTCCTGGCGCTTCATGGAAACACTTAGGCTGCTGTTCCCTTACATTTCTTCCCCTCACATTTTAAAGCATATGGAAGGTTGTGTGGTGTGAAAAAAGACTTTTGACTGAGGGACTGATAAACTGAAATATGCACAGATTTCAAGTTTTTGTGTGTCTTTGCCTTGTCCGTCTCTACAAGCTCATGCAGTATAGATGTGTGTGCCCATTTATGGGAGTTAAACAGTTGCAGAAGGTATGGGGTATTTATACAGATCGGGGCATCCCCTCTGTTCGGTGTGCGCATGCCGTGCGGTTTGTGTACCCCGCCGCGTAAAGGGTCTGTGATGTGCTCACACTCATACGTGTGCTGTGGACACCTTTGTTTGTGTTGGTTTGTGTCACCCATGGGTGTGTTTCCTGTGTGGCTAAGTGCTGCCTCGAACCCTGTGCTGTGTGTGACATGGGCCCACTGTTTGTGGTGCCTGTGTCACCTCCATGCTTGGGCACACTGCAGACACGCGCAGTAGCTTTGTGTTCACACACACACTCGGTGTTGGCAGTGTGGTGGGTGGCAAGGGGGGTGTTTTCCATCTTGTCTGCGCACCTGGTGTTCCTTTCCGGCCAGCAGTTAGTAAGTGGGCTGGTATGTGGGACTTGGAGGGACGTGTTCCCCTCTGCTTCTCTGATATGTGTTCCCATATTTTTAATATATGCCTATGCCATACTGTTTGATTACTCATGCTTTATAAAATATGTCAAATGCATGGTTAAATGCAGTTCCCCTCCATTTCCAATCATTCTTTCTTTTGGAAAACTCTTATAAATGATACGTGGTTTTAAAAAAGATTTTACTTTTCTCAAATTAAGATGTGGCCATGGCGACACATCATATAGAACCGAGGAGCTTTCAATGAAAGAGCTCCGCCTTGAACACTTCATGATCCCATTCCTGATGCCAGCGTATGCCAGGTGCTGGGGGATTTGGAGATGAACAGGACATGGTTCTAGCCTCCACACTTCTCCCACTCTGGGCAGAAGACAGATATGGCAACAATCTACTTTGCAAGAGGGACAGTCGGAGGAGACGAGAGCATGGCAGGCCTCCTGGAGGAGGTGGTTTCTGAGCAGGGCCTTGAAGCATGAGCTCTGGGTGCAGTGTGGTGGGCAGAGCCCTGCCTTTGGGGTCAGTACCCAGACTCTATGCATGGGACAGCCTTTTCTTTTGCTCATCCAGGAGACACCAAGGGACTCTGCTCGTCCTTGGGCTGGGAAGGCACTTGGGTGGAACCATTAATCCCATTGCCTTGCTGGGCAGACTGGCCTGATAAAACATGGTGTGAGTGGTGTGGTGATTGCTTCATTCATTCGCTCATTCATTTGACAAGGATTTATTGAGCATCTACTTTGTGGCAGGCTCTACTCCATCAGTTCTGAGAGATGAAGACCCCTGACCTCTAGGAGCCTCCATTTTAGTGGGAGAATACAGCTATAAGCAATGAACATGGTAAATAAACACATTATAGAGAATGCTAGAAGGTAAATATGTCTCTGGAACTAAGAACAAGGTAGAATAAGGTGAGGGAATCAGGGATGGAGGTGGGTGGCGGTGGTGGCTCAGAGCCCCCAGTGGTAGGAGGCTGGCAGCCAGGCTGGTTGGTGAGCAAAGCCTGTCTGAGTGAAGAGGGTTTTGATGAACTGACACTTTGGCGTGATTGTGTGGAGGGTGGATTTTTACACCCTCCATGAAGACACTTGGTGATGTCTATGAAAATTACAAATGCACACACAGTTGGACCCAATGATTATATCCTACAGATAAACTCACACCCATGCGAAATGATGGCTGTACAAAATTACTCATGGGAGCAATGTTGGAATAGCAAAAGACTAGGAACAACTCAATTGTCCATGTGCACAACTAGTTAAATATACCTGTATTTCCATACTGTGGAATACTAGATACCAGAAGAATTATGTCCTGATATAAAACATTTCCAAGACATGTTGTTAGGAGAAAAATAAGGTGCAAAACAGTGTGTATAGGGCACTGTCATTTATGTGAGAGAAATGACTATAAAATGTATATATGGAGACCATCTCTGAAAGAATATAAAGGAAGCTAGCAGACACAGTGGATAGCTAGGAGGTGGGATGGGAAGGAGACTTTTTGCACTGTTGCTTTTTGTACTTTGGGAATTTTGAACCACGTGAATATAACCTAATAAAAAAATAAATTTTTCAATTAAAATAAAATGGCCAGATGCCATGGGTGCCCCACCCAGGTCCCTTCACTAGCCTGCAAGCCATCTCCCATCTGGTTCACAACTGGCACAATTCTCTAGAGAGCTGTTCTTGGCCCAATGGGGGTCACCCTGCTCAAAAAGTTATGTCTCCCCCATCCCTCGAGAGCAGCCCACAGCCAGTGACCATAAAAGGCTGGCCCCTTGCTTCATTCCGGGATGAACTCCTTGGTACAGTTCATGCCCCAGGGCTCCTGCCGGATTGCAGTGAGTCTCTAGCTGAGACCACATTCTTGCTTAGCTCCTTCTACTGCCCTGTCCTGCTTCCCTCCCTCCCTCACAGGGTATTCCTAAAGAGCACTTCTCAAAAATCACATGCACTTAGACCCTTGTCTCAGGCTCTGCTTCTGGGGAACCCTATCCGAGACACCTGTCTCAAGGGAGGGGAACTAACTGGGGTTGAAATAAGTGCTCCATATGTATCCGTGCAGCATCCCTGGACAGAGGACTACTGTCATTGCCTCCATTTGAAAGTTTATCACCCAGCAGGGAAAAGGAGAGCCAGTGGCCCCAGAGTCCACACCTCTCCTACGATACCTGCTCCCTACGGCAGGGGCATCTTCCTGAATCCAGACTTGGCAGCTTCTCAGAACACAGGATTGTGGTTCCTGTACAGCGTTTTGACCACAGTCCTCACTGCCTGTGACCTGGGATGACCTTAGGGATAAACATGAGCGGGCAAAATTTCTTAGGATGGTAAGACCTGCAGTGCACGTTGGGGCAGGCCACTGTGACCCCAAAGCTCTGAAGATCTCAGCCTCCCTCCGTCATGGGGATTTCGAGCTCCACCTGATAACCTGATGTCATTTTGGCTGAGAGAGGTATTTGCATACTTCCAGGGTGGGGAGCTCAGTACCTGACAGGGCAGCCAGCCGCATCTATGGACAAGGGAGAGAGCGAACGGTTTTCCTTTCTCCATCCTGACAGTGATTAATGGTGCTCACTAAAGCCCTTGGGGGCCCGGGGATAGGGAGGCTCCTCCCACCCTGGAGGGAGTCCTGCTAAAAGGAGGACTTGGGCCTCTGGGGCTCAGGCTTTGCTTCTCCAGGCCCTACAGTCTTTTCCTCTCAGCGCGTTTAGTGCCCGACCGCCTCTGGCTGCTTCTCCTGGGGCCTTCTTGAGAATCTTTACTCAGAGCCACTCCTCTCTCTTTCTTTGTTCCAGTTTGGTGGTGACAGTGCCTCCGTGGGGATGAGTGACGGGAACGCAGAGCCCCTACCGACCAGCCAGGTGGGTGTCCCGTCCTCCCTGAGCAGGGGTCCAGCCTGGGGCTGGGGAGCTGAGTTGCTCCCGGGGCAGGGCTGGGGGCAGTGCGGAGTGGGCAGCACGGCCTACTACTATCCTCTCTGAGAATGATCAAGAGTATCAGCCGAGTCCCCTTAAAAGGGACAAACTGGGGCTATTGTGTTTTCTGTAAATCATCTACCTGGCTGCTGTTGGCTTAAAATGTGTATCGCTGAAAACCTGATAAAACTCCGAATGTGTTGCCTGCAATCCCCATGCATATAGGGGAAACTTCCAGCAGCGGTGAGCAGAAATGCATATGTGCTCTGGTGCTCCCTGCCTCTTGCCACCACACAGCGCCCACGGGGATGTACTCTGGCACGGGAGGCACATGCACCCACGCCAAGGCACGCAGGGCTCGCCCACCGCCTGGAGGTGCCTGATGCCGCTGGGGATGTGGCAAAAAGTGGGGAGAGCAGAGGCTTCCTGGTAGTCCTCCCTGATGGTGAGGGGGGCTGGGTCATCCCTGGGCAAGGCTGTCCCCAGCCCCAGCCTGGCCCTCTGAGAGTCCCAGATACCAGCTGGAATCTGAGTTTCTACTGAGAAGCTGGTCTCTAGCAATTAAGGTTTCTTTCATCTGGGAGCATTCTCACTATAGACTCTGATGCCAAAGAGGGTCCCCACTGCAGACTGGGGTGCTGGGGAGGGTTCTGGCTCCAGGCTGTGGCAACTTGGAGGATGGCTCCCTAAAGCAGTGGTGCCTGCAGGCTGGTAGCTGCTCAGGTTGCTGAATGGAAGGCTGAGGAGTTGCGCAGCTGCTGAGGGTGCTGGGGATCTGGGAGCCAAGCCTGTCTCTGGAGCGGACCTCTGCCTCTTTCTATGTAACCCTGATCATTGTGGAGGGCCACATGGTAGTGGGCCCACATTTTCCAGCCAGGCAAACAGAAGCCTATTAATTCACAAACGTTTATGTACCTTCCTATGGGATGGGTCTTGCGGGGGACAGAGATGAGTAAGGCATGGAGCTATGGCCCTTGGGGGCCCTGCCAGTGAGGGGAGACACTGTAGAGCCCATGCAGTGTGGAAGCACCACTGCAGGCTGCTGCATGGCAGTGGTGCTAGAACCAGGCTACCACATCTGCCCCTTCTCTGCTTGTGGCCATGTGGGCATCCTGATGATGCTGCAGAACTGCTTTGTGTTGCACTGACTCATGCCAACCTGCAAGATGCTGGTGGGCAAGACTCCAGGTCCTGGAAATGCTCGTTTTGGAAGAGACTGCTGAAGTCATTTAACTGTCCATAATTGGCTGGGAAATGTGGTTGTCTCGGTAGACCAGAGCTTACCCCTGAACATCTCGTCTGAGCCTTTACATGATGTTTAAATTGCATTTTGTTAACTTATTGAGCTTTGGCTCTCAAAATCCTACTATGGTGGAGTTGGTTCTGACTCAAACCCCGAAGGAGGGTGTTGGCACTGCACCTTCTCAAGAAGGGTAAGGGGACTTGGTGGGGCCCTGTGTCTGCTCTAGGCTTGGGCAGAAGGGAGCAAAGTCCTTTGGAAAGGAGATGCAAGACAAAAAAATGTTCACCCCCCACAAGCAACAATCTCAGCTGCTCACCCAACACTGTACAGTTTGCAAATCCCTTTTCTCAATGGTTATTTTAGCTAATTTTTCTCAATATTCTTGAGAAGTATTAGATGTTATCATTAATCCCATTATATAGGGGAGGCAACCGAGGCTCAAGGACATTGCTTGACTCAGCCAGGGAGTGGTACACCTGAGATTCGAACCTGCACCTCTGAGACTCAACCTGTTTCAGCCTAAACATCCTCCTCTCATGGCACCATGTCCACCTAACTCGTGACATTTGTCACTTTGTGGTCATGCTTATTTGTGTGATGACTTGGTCAGCATCTGGTCTCCACCCTAGGCTGTGACTTCCATGAAGGCAGAATCTCATCTCTTTTCTACTGTTCCACAAAGTGTTGGACATTGAAAGCACTAAGAAATATTCATATAATGAGCAAACGTGGCTCCTTCTCTTCTCTGGATTCCAGTTTCCCTGACAGAATGAGGTGATTAGATTCCCCAAAGGCCCCTCTAAGTCTCTTGTGCTGTCACTCGGAGGCTCCTTAACTTAGAACTTTATAAAGAAGACATCAGGGTTCTGTGAGATGGCATGAGCCTACCTTGATGAGAGCATATTTAGCATTTATAAATTGAGACTTCTTAGAGTGTATCAGTTAATTTTTCTGCCTAAGAGGCACTCTTAAACTTAGTGTCTTAAAACAGCATGTATTTAGCTAGTTCATAAGTCTATGGGTTGGCAGTTTAGGTGGGCTCAGCTGGGTGGCTCTTCTGGTCATGGCTGGGATCATGGAAGTGGTGGTAGTAAGCTGGCAGGTCAGCTGGGGGCTGATTGGTATGGGTGACTCACTTTTGCTCTAGATGGCCTCTCGATCAGGCTAGCCTGAGATTGTTCATGTGGTGGAGGAGAGGTTCCCAGAGCAGCCAGAGCAGATGCTACAAGACCTCTTGAGATCTAAGTCTTAGAACTGGCACATGACTACTTCCAGCACTTTCTATTGGTGAAAGCAAGTCACAAGGTCAGTCTAGATTCAAGGAGAAGGGAAACAGACGCTACCCGTTGATAGGAAGAGCTGCAAAATATTGTAGTCTTTTAACAAACTATCTCATATGGGAAACATGTCGAATATGATTCATTCTAAGGTTGCTGAAAAATAACTAAAACCCTTCTGGGACCTGTAGTTCCCAGTGGCTTGGTGGGGCTCCAGGGGCCTCTAGTTCTTAATGGCAAAAGTTTGGTGTATTTCCTTCCAGTCTTCTCCCTGGAGAGCTTGCTTGCACCCACATTTGCATGTCCACACAGGAGCACCTATCAGAGTGTGTTGCCTCATCAACTGCAGAACTGTCCCAATCATTAAGGGACTGACAGGGACATATGGGCAAACTGCAGGTCTTATAGCTAATAGAGGATTCAGAGGATAGACATAAAATGCATAGTGTAAATACAGCTAAATACAGGGTTCACCCATTCAGCAAATGTTCATTGGGCGCGTATGTGCAAAGCTCTGGACGTAAGCGGGAAGCCATTTCTGGAAGATGTTTGCTTTCAGGACATCCATTTTCTGCATGTTCAAAACCTTCTCTTTAATGTAACCATCTCCTGGAACACCACCTTCTTTATTTAGGAACGTAAATGAAGACAGAGGTTCCTATGGTATATGTATATCAGCCAACTGCCCTTTTAAAAACTTCCAAACTAGCTCTATTGCAAGCGCATGTTCCACTGTTTGGTTTTTGTTAAGTCCCCACAAGATACCTGCATAGCTGCCTTAGCTTTCATACATTCTCATTTTACACCTCTCTGGACCTTGCATTTCTTTTGTACAAGACTTGCCTGGGTGGCCTGAGACCAAAATGTGGTTCTCACATGGTTTCTAGTATATCAGCAGCTTCTGGGGGTGGAGGGACTGGGAGAGACCAGCTCTTCCCCTTGTTGAGAGCAGACCTTTCCCAGGAGTTACAGGGACTGATATTTCCTGGTTATGTAACCTGGGAAGAGTCTCCTGCCTGGGATGAGGGTGAAGAGGGAGGGAACTGGGCTGGAGTCTCAGCAGACTGCCATTCAAATTCCAGCTCATCTACAGCCCAGCCAGATGCCCTTATGCAAGTCATATCGGCTTTCTCTCAAATGGAAAGAGTAACGCCTGCTCCTAGGATGTTGTGAGAAGTACATGAGGTGCACTGTGGATTCTGTTGGTGGCCCCACCCCCTTCCCCATTCACTTCACTGGGCCAGGGCACCCATCGTCCAGCTGTTGTGACCACTGGCTGCTAACTCTTCACAGACGCCCCTTCTCTGGAGAACTGGCTTCTGCCAAATGGGAACCATGACCTGGGAGGGAGCATGGGGAATCGACTAGAAGGCCAGGCCCTTTGTCTCGAGGGGGAACCAGGTCTGTGGCTCCCAGTGGAGCTCCAGCTGCCTCCAGTGGAGCCTGCATCTGGCCCTGGCCTGCTTTGCCTGGCTCCCCTTCTCCTGAGTCACTTCTCAGGAGGAATGGTCACTCTCAGAGGAATCCCCATCCTGGGCTAGAACCTCAAACAGTGTGCAAAGTACTAGTGTTCTATAAAACTAGCTATGACTTACTTCCATTGTTTTTAATCCCATAAATAATGCTTTGGTTATGCAAGATGAATCTCTGGTCCCATCTTGTGCTCATTTACAGCTCTGTGCCTTTGTATGCGCTGTTTCCCCTGATAGGAATCCCGAGCCATTTTCACCCTGCAAATGCCCATTTGTTTTTTCAGGGGCATTGCAAATGCCATCTCCTCAGGGCAGCCATCCTGGCTGTGGGTAGAGTTTTCCACTCTCATGGCTGTAAATACCACTTATGCTAAAGATTTCTGACTTTGTCCTAAGAATTACTGAAAGAACATGTGTGTGTGTGTGTATGTGAGAGAGAGAGAGAGAGAGAGAGAGAGAGAGAGAGAGAGAGAGAGAGAAAGGGACAGAGGGAGAGAAGAGGGCAGGGGACCCGTACAAGATGACTTCCCGCACATCCTATCAGTCAAAGCAAGTATTGGGTTTTGTTAGTGAGAATGAGAGATTAAGATTGAATGACATGATCAAATTTGCCTTTTTAAAAGCTCTCAATGGAAAGAGCAGATACAGGGAGACCATATGGGAGGGTGTGGCAATAGGCCAAGTGAAGGATGATCTCCTAGATTATGGTGGAGGCAGAGGAGATAGAAAGAAGTGGCTGGATTTGAGCTATATTTTGGAAAGAAAGTTGGTAATTCTTGACAATGATGGATGTTGAGGGGGGAGAAATGGTGTAGTAAAGGGTGACCCCCAGGCTTCTAGCGTGAGTCCATTCTCCAGCATTTGGTACCATTTTCTGAGGTGGAGAGGGCCTGGGGAGGTGCAGGTTTGATGAGGTCGGACTTGGACATGTTACATTTTGAGACGCTCATCCCA